TGACTAGCCTTAGACTACCCATAGTGAGTAACATATATGATAACATCACACGTATCTAGGCAAAATAGATGATGTGGAAAGTAATTAATGAGGAATCCTGCATGAATCTGTCCACACGCACCCGTCGCCAAGCCTCGCCATGGAGAAGAGGGCCGCTGTCGGCACGCTGACAGGGAGTCTCCATTCACCCCTCACCGATCCTCCTCGCGTCACCGGCCGGCCAAGGGCGTCCCGAGACGGATCTGGACAGGATGCCAGGTCCGCAGCCATCGGAGCCACCCATGTGCCCGCGGTCGCCACACAGCTGGCCATGTAGGTTCCTATCGCCGCCGCGCACCAGGGGCGCCGCCCTGTCTGCCACCCCCGGCCTCTCCGCGTGAGACGCCGCTTCTGCCTCACCGAATTTGTCGCGGCGACCACCCGCCCTGGATCTGCAGTGCAGGTCCCGCCGCCACCGTGGCCCTTGCCCGCGACAGCGGTGGTTGGGGATGAAAGACCGGGGAGGGGCTGGCGGCGCGGGATCCGGGGCCCCTGGTGCCGCCCGAGGGGAGGTGACGCGAGGGGAAGGAGAGATTCTCAGACCTTTGGTCGCCCAAGTTTCGCATCCAAGCTCCACCAAATATGCATCGTCCTGATACAGTGGCCGGAGGTTATCCTCCTTGCAAAAAAAAATCACCAACGACGAGGTGCTATCACATATGCACACCTAGGTCACACATGAAATGAACACTTGCTTGATCCCTGAATTCATGTTGATAGTTGGACCTTACATGACATTAATCCGCATGATGCTTTGCGAATCAACCTGTGGTTGAGTTGGTTAGGTGGACAGTGGTATCCCCAACCCACCAGGGTTCAAATCTTGGTGCTCGCAATATTTCCGGATTTATTTCAGGATTTCCGGCGATGCGCTTTTAGTGGGAGGAGACGTTCCCGTCGATGACGAGGCGCCTACGGTGACTTCGTAAATCTCATGATGATATGCTGGCTCAGTCTCTCGGAGGTGCTCATAGGGGTAGGGTGTGCGTGTCTGCGTTCATAGGGATGAGTGTATGCGCGTGTATATGAGCGCTTGTGTTTGTACTGATGCTCAAAAAAAATCCGCATAATGCTTTAGCTTCTTTTCCACATTTTGTCAGGTGGGTTTGTCAAACACATTGTTCGCTTCACGACAGGTTGATGTTGGCCCATAAGCAAATTAAAAAATGCGATACTATCTGATTATGGATTCTATGCTCCTTCTAACTTGGCCGGTAGGGTACATGATTTTGACAGCCCACGTGTTCAAGTGTCTTCCTCAAAGCAGATGATATATGAAGACAAAAAGCATAAAACATGTTCTAATTGGTCTTTATCGAGTTGATCGTTAATTCTTAAACAGTGCTTTGACATGTTTTCGTTCCAGCAATACCAAAACTTGTGAAAGGTATGAACAGTGATTTGATTTGTTGCCTTGATGGTAGGTAGACAACTACCATCAAATGATTTCTTTTTGTAGATACAGGTGAATGATGCAGTAGCTTATGATTAATGCTACATCTGCAAAATATTAGGCAATTTCTTTTTCCAAACAGGCTGACGCGGGGGATTATAATTGGTAATAAGAGGATGAAGGGCCCACTATACCTGAGTTGAATTAGGGGGAGGGGGGGTGTTTGTAATTCTTTGTAGGTGTATTGGTAGCTTATTAGTTGAAAATTTATTGCTGTGTAGTGTGGAAATTTCGGTGACCATAGCTGCTTGTAAAGCATCTTCAGCCGCGCCTCCAACAAGGCCCCATGCGATTTTTCGGCCGCCGGCGTCAAAAAATCGGCTCAGTCTCACCCCCAAGGGCCCAATTTTCGCCGGCTTGGGCCGAAATTGGCGCCGGCGGACCCAACCCGAACCCGACGCTGGGGGCGCTCGGGGGCGCCGAGCGAATCATTTTTGGCGCGAAAGAGCCGCGGGCCCTTCTTGCCAGCGACTCGGCTCGCTTCTCGCCGCTTCGTCGTACTCATCGCCTCGTTTCCCGCGGCGAATCAATGCCAAAGCTGCCGCGCGCTGCCGTGCCGGTCAGCCTCCGCCATTGATGCCTCACGGGCGGCGCAGTGAAGGCGTGACGACGCGCGTCCCCGCGCATGCCGCGCGTAGATGAGGCGGCCACGCGTGCTCGCGCCGCCTCCGCCTATATAAGCCGACCCCAGCGCGCAGGTGGCACGCACAGAGTCTCCACCGCCGACGCGCCCTCTCTCCCCTTCCTCCCTCTCCCCCCGTAGTTCCAGTTCAAAGAAATGGCCGAACGATTCCCAGGCGACGGCGAACGGCTTCGGCCGCCGCCACCTTCGCGAGGAAGAAACTCGGCTCCTCTTCGAGGCCGAGTACCCAGTCCCGCCGGACATGTGGGTGCCCGGGGCATGGAGAATCAGCGCCGGCGGGGTCCCGGTGCCACCGCCGCCCACCGGGGCGGCGCGTCGTGCGGAGATCGCGCGTATCCGCGCCTCTCTGCCGCGGGCGGCAAGGGAGGGGCCGCACTACGTCCCCGACAACCCGCTCTGGGAGCCATACTTCCGCCGCCGTCACGCCGAGCAGCTCGAGGCCACCAACGGCGTCGTGCCCTCCGGCAGGCTCAACTCCGAGGGGCGGCGCCGATGGTGGGGCGTGCCCGGCCGCACGCTGGAGGCCGTCCTTGAGTACATCGAGGGCGGCAACATGCCGAGGCTGGAGTACCCCTCCCCCCGTCCTTCTCTCGCCGCCGTGGGAGCTCGTGGACGCCGAGGCGCATGGACCCCGGGGCGTCCTCCTCCTCGTCCGGTCGGTCGACTGGCTCTCCCTGCCTCCGCGGCATGTAGAACTGCAAGGGCGGCGGCCGGCGAGGAGCGGCGAGGCGATCGAGACGGTGGGCGGGCCTAGTAGGGTGTTTTTTTCTTTTTGTAAAATACTTTAAATATGTATGAGCGGGCGTGTTTACGCCGTGTTTGGTTGAATTTGGTTTGAAGTCACCGAAATATGCATGAACTCGCCGTATTTGTGCCGTTCAAAAAATCCCGTGGGCGCCGTGACTGGATGGCATCACGTCCCCAACGCGCGTTTTTGCGCCGGTGCGCCTCCAGAGAGCGATTTTTAGCGCCTCCTGAGGGGTCAACGGCTGGAGATACCCTAACGTCTCTTCAGTCAAAATGGCCGGTCCTGTTAAATTCGGTTGGTGATTTTCAGGTCACCGTCACCAAATAGTTTTTTTCTTCCTTTCCACACACCCATTGGCGCCTCCACTTGCTGCTCGCTAATGTCACTATTCTTCTCGTTAACTTCAGACTCGCCATAGACACTCATGATGTATTCCCCACACAGGCCCAGTAGCTACATGCATGTACTCCTTTCGTTCAATGATTGTTGTCATGGTTGCAGACTTGTAGTTCAAAATAGGAACTAAACCACGTGAAGAAGTATGAAACTAACTTACACAACAGATAGAGGACGACGTCGCCAAATCGCAAAGCGGACAAATGGTAAGAGCAACTCCAATGGGGTGGCTCAAACGAACGGCACATTTGTCCGTTTTTTGTCTGTTTAGGTCGGTCGCCCACCCGGCGTCCGCTCAGTTTTGCATTTGCGTCGACAGTGCGTCCAACGTGCCGAGCTATTTCATGTTCGCATTCAACTTTTAAATAAAAAAGGCCCGCGGCCCATCATGCCAGCGGCATGTCTCATACCGGCATCATGCCAGCGCCGACATACAATGCCGGCTTTAGAAAATACCACAGTTCATGCTGGCGCACTCGCCAGCCGGCCGGCACACATGCCAGCACACAAAAAAGGTGGGACTTGAGTTCGACCACGCCATCGCGGCTCCCATGGTCATGCCGGCACAGCTGCCGGCATACAAAAAGATGGCCCTCGACGTCATAGATCACTCGTCGTTATATTTGGCCATGGGTCGGGCTTGGGCCGGGCCTAAAATGCCCATGGCAGAAAACTGAGGCCCAGGCCCTCCCAGGCCCTACCATCGGGCCTACTTTTCAAGCCCAAGCCGGCCCATCTGGTAAAAAGCCCTGAAAATCCCTTAGGGCTTAGGGCCGTGGGCCGGGCCTCTTCCTTAAAATGCCAATATGCCAAGCCCAAGCCCGTCCAGCCCCTGCTAGTGGGCTCAAAACTTAGACTCAAGCCCGGCCCATGGACAAGCCCATCAGGCCTAGGCCCTAGATTTTAGGGCCAGACCTGGGTGGGCCGACAGGGCCGGGCCTGAGATGGCCAGGACTACTCGTCGTCGAACTTGAGCATGTCGGCCTGCATATTCTCGAACCACGGCCTCTTCCTTGGCGACATGGTGTTGAGATCCACCTTCATGATCTCCACCCCGGTCATCATGCTTGCAAGAGCCACTTCTTTCGCCTTTGTCCTAGCGTTGGCAGTCTCGATCTCTAGCATCTTGGCTTGCTTCTCTGCCTCGAGCTCGAATATCTTGGCTTGCTTCTCGGCGTCAAGATCAAGCCTCCTCCTTTGGATCTCCATGAAAGCATCCATTTGCTCCGCCTTGAAATGCCGGCGCTCCTCCTCCCTTGAGTCCTTGTTAATCATGCCGTCCACGCTTGCGATCAAGGCGTTGGTGGCCACATCTCGCTTGTCCTCCTTCTTGGAGTTGGTCTTCCCCCTTGGACGTGCCGGCTCGCCCTCCCCAACATCCTCCATGGCTTTCTTTCCCCCACGTGCCTTGAGGGCGGCATATTGCGTCTTGAACTTCTCTTCGTCCTTGATGACCCGATAACAATGGGAGAGGTTGAAGCACTTGCCATTGTGTTGAACCTTGAATGCCTTCAAAGTTTGAAATGCCTACAAAATGTTTCCATGCAAGCATATGGGCAAGTGATAGCAAATGAAGACGTAAAAGGATGATCTTGATGGCACAAAAGAGGGTGGCTTGCTTGCTATCATACCATGTCTTGCATGCCGATGCCGCTCACGGGGCGGGCTCTGACGCTCTCAAGGGTGGCGCAAAACTTGTTGCACTCTTGTTGGATCACCCTCTACCGCTTGGAAATTGAGACCCACCCGCGCATGCTCACAAATTGGTAAGGTGGAAACTTCTTGCGCTCATGAAACTCGCGGTGCACACGAGTCCAAAAGGTCGAATGCTTTTTCTCGGCGCCCGTCTTTGGGTCTTGTCCAATGTCTCGCCAACACTCGCAAAGAAGCTTGTCCTCGGCAGCTGTGTACGCCTTCGTGCACTTGCTCTTGCGCTTCGGCTTAGGACCGGCGGCTTGGTTGACAAACTCGTCCTCGAACAAAAGCTCCACTTCGATGTTGCACTCGTCCTCTTCCTCTAGCCCATAGTCGTCCGGAAACTCATGGTCGAGGGGGAAGCCGTCCAGGTCGATGCCAACCTGATCACGCATGAAGGCCGCTTGATCGGGATCATAGCCAGCGGCCGGCGTGAATGCCCCGCGGCCGTCCTGGCTTTGTGTCTCGTCGGGATCGTAGCCAGCGCCCGGCACACCACCCTCGAAGATGAGGTTTTGCATGTAGGCCTCGTCGACGGCGGACGGCATTTCCTCGAACAGGTTACGGGCGTCCGGGAGCTCGCCGACCGATGTCTATCACGTGCGTTTCCTCGTGCCGCCGGACGATGAGCCACCGACCACCGGGGTGGCGTTGAGGTCGATGGGCGCAGGCGCGGGCGTGCAAGGCGCGACCATGCTCACATCGGGTGAGCATTCCCCGGAGAGGCGGGAGGCCTGTGGGTAGACGTGGAAGCCGGGGACCGGGTTGCAAGCCAACGCACAGGGTGAGTTGGGCATCACCATCCGAGGAAACGCTGACGAGCCGGTGCTGGCCGCGGCGATGGCGGCTTGGAGGACGATGTGCTGGCTAGGGTTTACCCCTAGCATGCAGAGCGCCTCCCTCGTTGCCGCGGTGACAGCGGCGGCCTACGCGGTGGCCTCATCCCTCACGTCCGCGGCGTGCCTCCGGCCCTTCCTCTTGGCCGACTCCCTTGCCCGCTGTTCGGGCGTCAGCGCCTTCTTCGGCTTGGTCGCAGCGGTCTTGCGTGGTGCACGAAGCTTGCCTTTCCCGGAGGGGGCGATGGCACCGGACAAGGCGAGGGAGGCGAGGCCGGCGACGGCGTCGAGGTCGAGGTCGATGTCGTCCTCCATGGCTAGTTGGGGGGTGGGGGCGCGCGTGGACGGGAGCATTTTTGGGGAAAATGGAAGAAAATGATGGTGGCTGCCACCGACCGGCGGGCCCGGGGAGAGGAGTAGGCGCGCGCATGTCCGTCTCGTGTCCACGCCGACGCAAATCCGGCTCAAAATTGGGCCTGGAATGGGTCGCCCACGGACGAAAAACGGACGCCCGTCCGTTTGGGTCGGCACGTTGTGCCGCCACTTTTGTCCATGCCGATCCAAATGGACGCGGGCGGACAAAATGGGTCGCCCCATTGGAGTTGCTCTAACACCATCATGAGACGTGTCAACAAAGAGCGGAGACTGTTAGGATGATCTCCACCGTGTGGGCCCAATGGCCCACCGGGCCCTTAGATCCGCGCCCTAATCGGGGGCGCTCAACCCACTATGGGTGACGGGCCCCTGTCACCTGCACTATATAAAGAGGTGGGGGACGGCGGCTCGCATCACGAGGTTCGTCACAACACCGCACACCGCACCTAAATCCCCTACCGATCTAGGGTTAGTGAAGTGCTGATGGGAAGCACCGCCACCACTACTCTCTGCCGTCCCCGGCACCGGCACCATGGCCGGCACCGGGAGCTCCTCGAGCCACAAGGAGAAGGTAATGCCTATCACCAGTACCGGAATCTTCATGCCCACTGGATCAAAAGACTCTATCAATGGTATCAGCCCAGGTTGGCATTATGGATTTTCGGTAGCAACATAAATTCCCCCCTCCCCAAAGAACGCTAGAACAGGGCAAAGAAAAATTCCTCTCCGGAGAAAGTAGCGCTGCCGTTATGGCCGCGCCGTTCCTCTCGATCCGGACGGGCATCGGCACACCGAGCCGTCTGGAAGAAGAACCACCGGAGTTAGCCCAAGGGCTCGCCAGAAAAGGAGAAGGGGGGCACCGCAGCCAAACCGCTCGAGGGCGGCGTGCTCACCGCGAGGTGGACGCGCAGCCGGCGAGGGGGAAGTCCACGGCGCCGCCGTCGGAACCTCCGCCACAGTCATCATCTAGATCGAAAAAGAGGAGGCGCTGGTGGTGGATACACAAAGGAGAGGACAGGAGGAAAAGGGGGGAGGATAGGGTGGTGCGCAACGCGGTGGCTTCAGGTTGCCGTTGCTGGCGGCCAGACCTAGCTCACCGCAGAGACAAAACGGCCCCGCCCTCTCTACAAAAGGAAAGAGTAGGGGAACAGGAGGAAGGAGAAGCAAGCATGAGGCACGCGCGACACGATGGCCTTTCGACCCCGTCGCCGGCGGCCGGACAGAGACTCGCCGATTGCCTTGCGGGAGAGGAGCAGATGACGGCAATGCCGCATCTCTCTCTCTCTCTGTCAAAGAAAATGGGAAGAAAAGAAGCCACGGCGCGGCGCGGTGGCAGTAGACGCCGTCGCCGGCGGCCGGACGCGGCGTGGTGGTGCCCGACACCGTTGCTGGCGAAGCTCGGGCGAGTAGAAGGACGAAGCCGAGCGGCGCGCGAGGGGAAGGATGATTTAGGGTTTCCTCTCGGCCTCGCTAACGACCTGTTTTTGACCGAGTGAAATGAACGCTGGTCCGTCGGATTAGATCCGACGGCCACAGAGCGAACCCTAGCTCACAAATGGGCCTTCTGGGCCAAGAGACGAGCCGGACCAGGCCAGCCGCCGCGGGCGCGAGCGCGGGGTGCTGGGCCGAGGCCGCAGCCAGCTGCATTTTTGTTGTTGTTGTTTTTTCTTTTGTTATTTGTCCAGTTTTGGGGCAGATTTCAAACAGTTTTTCTATGCAAAATTTTCCAACGAAAATATTTGTTTAGAAAATAGAAAAGTAAACAGAAAAAGTTTCTGAAATGAAAAATAGAAAATTTTCAGAAAAAGAAATGTTCATGAATTTTATAAAGAAAATAATAAAGTTCATGAATTTTTATTTTATGAAAGAAAAGTTTCTATAAAAAAAGTTCATGAATGTTTTATTCATGTTTTTCTGCTGCAAATAAAAATAAAAATGCTCTTTTAAAAGTGAATAGAACTAAAGTAAAAGATTAAATTTTTGTTTGTCCAATGCATTTTTGAACCAATCGGTTGAAATTGCTTAGAGAGTAAAAGAGTATAGAATTGTTTCTGAATAGATTCAGAAAGTTTCCTCTGCAAAGAAAAAGTATTATCCTCCAATTAAATTGGAACCAACGGGAAAATTTAATTGGATGAACAGTTTTTGAGAGAATTATTTTTACTTGTGGGTGAAATAAGATGCATATAGTTTCCGATATGATAACAGAAAGATATTTCTTTTAAAGTTAAAATATGGTATTGTTATTTTCTGACCAACGTTGATGATAACAGTACTATAATTCTATGAGTCTTATGTTCAAAGCTTAAATCTCTGATAAATTTTGTATCAAAGTGATCATTTTTCAGAGAAGAGTTAAAGATGAAGAAATGCTCTTGAACTAGAGAAATGTATATTTCTTGTTTCTCCTGCAATAAAGTTGATGATGATGATTATTTCTTAGCAAAGTTGTTTAATAGAAATACTATCATCACATTGTTTATCAGTTATGTAGAAGAATGAGTTTTATTTTAATTCTACCACAACAGTGATTTAGAGTATAAAAAGGAAGTTTTACAAAAGTTTAATGTGCATATTTTTTAACCAGACCAACATAGGGTTATTTTTATGTTCATTATTGTTGATTATTGGCTAAGTTTTCTCAGACTAAAAGTTTTCCATGCTTTCATTCATGAAAGCGAATGGTTGGGTACTTGTGACCCGAAAGATGACCAAGAAAGGTCACAACGTGAGATAGTATGTTCTCTCTAAAGAATGGTTTCAAAAGAAAAGAGATAGATCATTGAGAGTCTTGGTTGACGAATGTCTTTCATGTACTCTCTATGATTTGAGATAAAACAAGCAACATGCGTGTTTAATTTGACCAACGTTGGATGAAGCATGTGTGTCAAAGAGCATTCGGATTTATTTATAAATTTGATGATTGAATATGCAGTCAAAAGAGCCAATTCTGGCATTTATGTCCCTTATAGGGAATTACCCGCATGGCGGGAAAAGATGATTATGATAAAACCCACATGGCAGGATAAGTCTGGGAAAATCCCTGTGTAACCCGTATGGCGGCAGAAATTTCTCAGACTTATCCTGTATGACAGGAGAAAGACATGACGACTCATGTGCTTTTAATGTGTCCCACTCTGGGAAAAAAGTATGGAGTAGCTAGTATGCTTTCCTAGTATCAACCGTACATCTTATGTGTAACGGTCATTAAGCACTCAATAAATCCGAAGAGAATAAAAGTTACAGACGAAACTAAAGATAAGAATGATATGCAAGTGTGACTTGCAAAAGTACTAATGATAAAGAACTCTGTTGAGTTTCTGAAATGGAATGAGGAAAAAGTACTCCCATACTAGTTAAAAGATAACTTCATGTTGTATGAAGAGATAACTTCATTTCGTATGAAGTAATCTGATGAATGAAGTAGATAATCAAAGTTTCCTCAATTCACAAGAGTTGTCAATGGTTTTCGAAATTGTGGCGGAAAAGTTCTTGCCACATTTCGAGGGGGAGAAAGATATATGATATAAATTAAGAATGATGAAACTCCCCTATACTTTAGATAATGTGATGAAGAATGTGATCGTCTGGGGGAGTACGACGGTCATATTAATACCCCAAAAGAAAAGAAATAGCTGCATTTCTGGATCTTTTACAGGTCCGAAAGCAGGGTAAGGAATACTAAGATGGTGCTTAAAGTGCCATAAAGAAGAAAGATTTAACAGAATAAACCCAAATTATAAAGTTTAAAGATAAGCCATTTTAGTGAAGATGGAGTAATCTGGGGGAGCATGTTGTATGACCTATACAACACATGTTGTTAGCTCTATAAAGGATGAATGAGTAAACACGGATCTTGTGATACAGGTCCCTGTAAAACCTATTGCCTCTTGGGAATGAAAGACTATAGAATTAGTTTGCCTCTTGCAATGACAGAGCAACAACATTCCCATATGAAAGAAGTGCCAGTACCTGAGACACTGATGGTCTCAAGGAATGATAAAATCAGATACTTCTAATTACTATAAAGTCTATGTTAGTGAAATTCAAATGGAGGTTGATCCCACCTCATTTAAAGCGCTCATTCGAGCTTTGAGAAGTGTCTGCTTATCTAAATGATAAGAGACTATGTGAGATGAAATGAAATTGGTGAATCCTGACGATGTTTGGGACTGATGAGTAAT